ACCTGCCGAGAGATGTTTGCAACGGGACTGGGTCTGGCTCGGTTTTGGTCATCTCCAAAGGCGCCAGTTTGGCCTCTGAAGATTTACCCAACCTTATACCAACACCAACTAATCTGCTGAACATCAGTTTCATCTCGCCATGGATGGCATGAGTTTGTTATCGCCCTCGTGCTTAGGTCAGGCCCGAGGTAACCGTGAGGGTAATTAAGTTTAACAGCGGCTCAACGATGCAGACCGACAAACCACCCCTTCCAATGACCGACGCATGAGCAGTTCAGCCCACGTACTCCTCATGGGGGTTTTGGGTTTTTTTTTGTTCTTTGGTTGGTTTGTTTTTTTTTTACCACCACAGGGAAGTAGCGGAGGGACCTCGGCTGGCTTCTGCTTCTGGTGGCACGTTCAGCCAGCCCACTACACAGGAAAGCTATTTATTCTTGGTCAAAATACTCCTGGAAAAGCTCCCCAGCAACACTTGTGTCAGAAGGTGATGATTCCAAAAGCATCATACAGGCCCTTTCAGGCAAGCAGTAGGACCAAAAATTCACAAGGAAAATAAAAAAAAAAAGGCAAAGCATTCTTTCTGCAGCCCTGGCTGCTATTGCTGCCTCCTCCCAGCACAACAGACAGCCCGAATAGCGACCGGGGGGAGCACAGGGGAGGGGAAAGGGTGGCACGATGGACCCACAAACGGGTGATAACTGGAGCTTGAGAGACCACCGGGAGCAGGTCGTTGGCTGCCTTCCGACTGCCCAAGTCAGCAGATGCTCACGGTAAGGCCCGCAGCGGGGACTGCGAGTGCCCCCCGAACAATGAGGTGAAGCTGGCTGCTGACTAACTCGGGGTGCTGCGAAGCAGCCGCTTCCCCGCGAATCCTCACCCAGCAAGGCACACCTGCCACCACGCAGGGTCAGCTCCTCCGTGCCGCAACACCCAGGCTTTCTGGGCAGCCCCTCTGCTACCGACCCGACGGCTGCGTCCACCACAGCCCTGTGTGTACAGCAAGGGGCAGGCGGTGATGGGCTGCGGAGCACGACGGCATCGCCTGCAAGCTGGGACAGAAATGAGGGTGCAGGCAGGTGGTCTCCTCAGAGGCAGTTACCCAGGTATTAACAACTCGGAGCCATCACCTAAAATGTTGCCTTAACAAATACGACAGTCCGCACAACTGGGCTTGAGGGATGTCAAAACTATACACCTCAAAGAGATGTCAAATCCCTGCTAGCTTGCTTCCAAAACAAAGAGACACCACTTGCAACAAAAAAAAAAAGCCACCCACAACAGCATTAGCTCAGCACATTCTCACCCACCCAAGCATTCCCCTGCATTTTTCCTTTTGAAAGCCAACAACTTACCTCTGGTAAATCCCACTACAAATATTAGGGCATAGCCACACGAGGAAGATCTATTGTTCCAGTTTTCTGACAAAGACGGTAAGCTAAGAAAACGCGCAGCAAGATACGGATGTGTATAGAAGTGGGAGACTGCTGCCTCTTTCATCTCCATAGGGATGGTCTCATTTTATGCCACCCCAAACGTTACTTAAGTGAGGCTTATCAGCTGTCCTTTCATCATCTCCATACGAGGTTGCTTTTGAGTACTTCTCCAAGAGATGATCACAAAGGATTCCTAAAACCAGGCAAGATTGCAATGATTAGAGCCCACCTGCAAAGCCAGACATTCGTCTGTAAGGGAAGCACTGAGACTACAAAGTTACTCCACACATTGTGCACAGCCCAAGTCCACTTTAAAGACCACCCTTGTAAATGTACTGCAAGCAGCATTTCCAAATTACAGCAGCACACCAAGGGCTTGTAACATCCGTTTCTCTGAAAATCTGGACAAGTTCATTACCTTAAGGCCAACCATCCATTAAGGACAGCACCACCGCATCTGACAGCCTTTCTACCAAAGGGGAATTCAGACCAAGTCCCCTTACCCTCCCAGTTCCACTTGCGAGGTGACAAGAGAGATATACCATGAGCAGGCACACGTCGTAACAAAGAACACACCAGCAAACATCGCTTTATTACACTGGTTCAGTTATCCAGACTAACCATAAAAGCTGTTTAGATGGATGTAGACAAACAAGTCAGTGTTTTATGTATTAGGCCAAAGCTCCAGAATCCTTACGAGGGAACATACACAGAAGAACACGAGGTATTCATCACCAGTTGTTTCAAATGTCCATCAGTAGTGGGTCTCTGGCAGGGAGGGGACAAGGAGGTACAGTGACAGACCCTCCCCAGGGGTGCCTTCTGCCGCCCGAATCGTGAGACAGACCCAGGGGGTTGTATTGCCAAGAGATTGGAGGGGGGGGCACAGTGTTCATCAGCACAAACAGAATGGAGATACACTGACCTGAGCCTTGCTCAGCTGGGACTACACAAGCACAACACACTGGTACGAGCTACCAAACAATCGGTTAACGGTTCATAAGACTGGTCTAAAGCTGGAACTAGAACGACTCTGGGTGGAAAGGCATAGAAATAAATACTTGCTCAACTCAGCACTCTCTGCCTATTCACAAACTTGTCAGCATCTAGTTACACAGCCAGGCATTCTTCACTACCTCACAGCAGCAAAATACTACCACTTAAGAGCAGCCGCTGAGCAACTATCCACAGTACGTTGTACACACTCCAGAAAGAAGCCTGATGCTATCTCTTGTACTGGTCACCCTCCTCTGCATCTGCTAAGCAGCTGGGGCACCCCCCGCCCATAAACTCTGCCTCAGATGCAACCAAACTGCTCAATTAATTGAAGACTGCCTTACTGCTAAGTGCCCATTCTTTATGGGTGGAAAGTATTTGGGTCACTCTGTAAACATCGGAGAAATGCAGATTTTGGTTGTCATTCACGTACAAGACCAAAACGGAACAAAAATGCAGATGTTTGCTAGTCAGCAGCTCTGTGCAAGTCTCCTACCACTTAAAAAGTCTGGGGTAGCACTCTTGAAATTTTACTGGTGGCATTTATGTCATTTTCTTGAGGACAAACACTCCCCTGAAAAACACCCTTTAACAGCCAGATTAGATCACAATATTTAAAAAGTGATATGGTTATGGTTATGTCAGTGCCTTAGACACCAAGGCAAAGGCTTAGAGCAGAGGTTACAGAATTGATGCTTAGTGTAGCACTTACATTTTGGAATAATGACCTGGAAAAAAAAATGCAGCCTGGGTTTCCAATTTCTTTTCCTAGATGCTGAGTCACCAGCAAAAATGCTGTCCAGTTTAGCCTGCAGACCTCCACTGCTACACAGTGCTCAGAGAAGAATGATGCACTTTGCCTCGGTTTGTTCTTTTGGCAGGGTCGGCGGCACCTTAACAGCTATTTTGTGCGTGACTGCAGAGAACACCTTTTCCAGTTGGACTCGGGAGATTGCTCAGTCTGGAGTTGCCCTGGGAGGAACAGGGCAGCTCTGAAGGATGGCAGGACCTGACGTGCCCCGTACAGCAGACACCAAGAATGAAATCCTCTTGGTAAGCAGACTAAAAGAGCTGAAAATAAGGCAAATAACTTAAGATTGATGGAGTAACTCCCAGTTTTCTGCTTGTAACACATTTTACTCCACAAAGCAAAGGAAAGGCAGATTGACCTTTCTTATTTAACCTTCCCTTACATTTAAGAGATGACCAAGACTAAAAGAAAAACTAAAAAAAAAAAACAAAACAAAACAAAAAAACCCCAAGCTAAGGAGAAGTTGTCTGTCTCCCTAGAGCTGTGCTACAACATAAAACTATTGTAGGCTATTCCAGGATGCCGAAAGTCAGTTTAGAGAAAGGCAATAACCCCCGCACTACAGGGGCTGTAACAGTAGTGTACTGTATTACATTCTGTGCAAGTTACGCAACTTGTTCACAAGTTTCAGTTTATCTACGTTATCTCGCAGCAGTTCTGTTAATTGGTGGCTGAACACTTTACACAATCTTACTCCACAGTTCAAGTAGGAAAAAAAAAATAAAATAATTTCCTGTGTCTGGTACCTGTACACTCCAAAACAAGTGCTCCTAATGCCCAAACATCAAAAAATCGAGATCTCACAGTTTACTGGAAATAGATTAGCTAAATTCCCTTTGCGCTTTGTTTTAAAGCCCCTTGTCTCCAAACCTTGTTTTCATGGAAGACACACAACATACCCAAATGAAGATCCCATCTCGTTGTAATGGTGTTGGTTCTGACTTCCCTCTAACACAGACTTTCTCCGACTCTGACTAGGTGTGCACGAGGAGAAAGGGTGTGTACGTCAAAGTGACATCTTTTCCCCGAGAGGATTTTCACACTTTGGAAAGCTAACAAAGAAAATTACAAGTTAGGTAGGATAAGGTTGAAACTGTCCACCAGGCCAACTTGAGCATTACGAGTTCCTTTTCCCCCTTTGCCTGTTGCTCAAAGTTTCCTCTCCCTTAGTTTGTTCCCATTTTGTTCATCCAGTATTGATGAGTGTCCATCACCATTGCTCAAGCATTTGTCCTTTTCATATTTGTGCTCTTGCTTCTGTCGCCTTATCTCCTTATATCGCAAAGTGATGTCACTAAAAAGAAAAACACACAGATGTGAACCAGTGATGTGAATAAATAATTTCAACATACAATAAAAACAATAAGGCAAGTCTGTTCTCGATGCAAGTGCCCTTGGGATAACTTAACCCACTTAAGTCTTTTGGCTGTAAATTTCTAAAATTGCTGATGGCATTGATTCACTTGAAATTTGTGTTTCTTGCTAGTAGTCTGGCTGTTATCACCTCTTTCAGAAGCATAACACAACAACAGGCTCAACAAGAGCAACTGCTGCTGTTGTACTGGGCCTCCTCTATCGACTACTGTAATCCTTTCAGCCTTGTGCAGCTGCTTTTCATTTGCTCGCACAGAGTGGCATCCAAACCAAACACGTTTAACTGCTCGCTTGTTGCGGACACTGTGACAGCACAGACAACTGCAACACAGCAGACTCTTCTTCCACCGAAGCTGTAAAACATCTTAGTCTTGTCTAACTTGGAGCACAGGAAAAACAAATCACTGATCTTCTTCTGCCATCTTCACTCATCCAGGAAGACAAGATGCAGTCAGGGACTTGACTGTTCATCTGCTTCTACAGCAACACTAGCACAAGTAGCCTCACAAAGACCAAAGCCACCAAAGGCTTGCTCCAGAAAGAAAACTGCCAGGATCATGCACAGAAAACTCCCTATTTAGTAATTCTTACACAAAACCACTGCAGCTCTCGCCATCCCAAAGAGTCGTAAAGGCTAATGACAGCACACATTTGAAGATGAGCCATTGAACGGATGCCCAGAACAACTTCCCCCCTAAGACCCAGGATAGGCCTGAATGTAGGACATCAAACACTGCTTACCGAATGAAGAAACGCCAGGCTGTCCAGGTGAGCACAAGTATAATCCCCAAGATCCAGCACTGGGTAATGTAGAAAGGAAGAGAAAGCGTCAGTGTGTAGGGATCATACTTCACGACAATCAGAAACTCCGTGGCAGTAATAGCAGCAACCAGCCACGCCTGCTGACCCAATTTCTTATGGAACTTCCTGCAAAATAAACATACAGATAAAACAAAGCTATTGCTGTAAAATTAAGGAGTCAGAGAAATATTCATAGAAAGACAGCTGGGGTAATAATTTCATTCAGCTTTGCATAATTCTAAAAGTCTGGTTTGGTTATGCATGTACTAAGGCTATGGAAGCTCTTGACTTTCATGTTGTTGTTACTTAAGTTTCCTCTCAGAGGCTCTGAAAACACAAGAAAAGTTAAACTTCGTCATCATATGATGCAAGGAAGTATCCCCATTTTCAGGGTATTGGGAAATCCACCGAAAACAATTACCTGACCAGCTGGAGATCAGCTGAGGTTCAGGGCATGGGATGAAATAGGAGCTCTACTCCTAGATTTCCTCTGCAAACATCAAGTCACACTCCCGTAACCATATTTAATCCCTATATAATTGCATTCTGAAATTTCCTCTCTTCCCAAAAAGGTATTCAATGAGCTGTCACTAATGATCTCTGAACAGATTTTAAAAGAAGAAACCTTAATAACAAACAGGCAAGATATTGGAAGACACAAGGACGGAATTTCATTTCTAGCACAACACAACCTCGAGGCACATATGTGATTAATATTTAATCCCCAGGGTTTGTTTTTAAGCAGTACCATTGACAAGTCAATGAGAAGCTGCAGTGTTGTGTACAAGTCTAGTGAAGGACTCATCAATCAGTAATGCTAGAAATTAAATTGCAGCAGAATCAAGATATCTACTCAGAGGCTCTACTTGCAGAAGGAGAGATCGGAAATATATCGTCTTTTGGGTCACCTATTCCTGCATGGGAAATACATAAACCAAAAATACCTATAGGCTGCCTTTCAGGAAACCTCTTTACCCTCACCGGTAATAGCCTATTGCTAGAAACCTGGGAAAGCTGCTTGATCTAAACCAGTTAGGTCCCCCACTTCTTGACCTTGTCTGTTCATGTCCTTTCTAGAGTGGACATTTTTTGCAGCTTGACAGACCAGATGATTCATATGCCAATAATCCAGTGGGATACTGTTCGGGCAGCAAAACAAGCTCTTTTTTTATGCATTGGAGTGCACCGAAATCCTGCCCACCGCAGCACCACTGGTACATGCAGATGTGCTATCCAACAGCACAGGGTTAAGTACATCACTTCCCGCTTGATAGACTGATTTTTGTCCTTCCATCATCCATCTTCCAAATCTAAAATGGGATTTTATTCCCATTAGAGGAAAGAACTAAGAGAAAGCTACTAGAAGCTGTGTGTACTTTTTCCTTTTTTTTTTTTTTTTCCCCAAAAGGCATGATTTAATTAAATGTTTCCTGAAATCCAACTGATTTGAATCAAGGAAGACTGAACTTGAGAAAAGCAATACCCTCAACCACCATAATCACCAACTGGTTTATCAACAAGCACACAAATCTAACTTTTCTCAACAGCCTTTGGCTTGTATCTTTTACTTAAAAACCACACAAAGGAGCACTTTGGTGCACCTTCCTGTTAGCCCTAAACCTACTACCTTACCCAATTATTATGTCTCTGAAGATACCCAAGATAAATCATGCAAACAGAAGCACCACCAACTAAACTTAAAGGTGGCAGTTCTTTTTGCCTTCTATTATTCCTTATTCTGCCTTTGTTCTACATGTCTCTGCTTTAATCACGGGGAGCGTCTATTCTGCAGAGGGCCTTGCCCTCCGACTTAACCATAGTGTATCCCCAAGTACCTCTTCCTAACAGGTCCTTTTTTGTCCAACTGACTGTGTTATTCCATTCCTACCACAGCATAACATGTGCAATGAAACACATCCAGGAAGAATTCACTGTTAAGTTGCAGAACTACTGGGGCAGGCCAGAGGAGATGGTGTGCAAAGCGATATAATAAGCCTACAGAGGGCTGAGGAGAGAGGGGTGGAGATGTTAAGATGACCGCCGTAGTACTTGTAGGACATTGTGGCAATGGGAAATTCTAGTCTGGTCTGACTGCTGTGACGTACAGCCTCCTGTCTGACTTAGGAAATGCTGTGATACTTAGTAGGCACGTAAACTCTTTGGGCTGTATTTTCTTGATGGTTTTGCCATGCAGTGGGCAAAAGAAAAGTCACCTAACAAACCCCTGATTAGAATTTCCTTGGAGAATGGCTGCTCTGTTAATGCTTCCCTCTGCTAGCCAGAGAAACAAGCCTGCCTGACACCCTGCTACCTCCAGCTGGTATACTGCCCAGTTTGCCCACATCAGAATAGGCCCCAAGCATCTCCAACAGCGCTGGGGCAGAGGGAGCTGCGACTACACATTTGCTCCCAGTTTCTCTTCCCCTTTTCTCATCAGATGCCAGCAGCTTCTGGGGAGAGCAGCGTTCCCTCAGCAGGCGTTTTCCTATTGCTCAGACGCATCTGCTCCACTGCGTCCCCTTGGATTCTCAGTATCTGTGAAGGGATCTAAGCATGGAAAGCAAACAGAGCTTCTCTTCCCTCTCCTGAATCCAGGGGAATCATTGCAAGTCAAGCACACAAACCACATATTTAAGAAACTATGAGGCCCAAGAGTCATATTTGACACCAATGCGTAAGTTCAAACTACGCAAAATCATCCAAATACACTGGGAAAAAGAAGATGCAGTAAATCGAGTGTAGGTTATTGCTGATGCAGATGGGATGAGTGCATTCCATTTAAAAAAAGTATCCTGTCTAGACCAACTCAGATGAAAGGACTTCAGAAACTGCTCCAGGTGCTTCATCTGGCATGACAGATTATATGGACAGAAACTAGCCTTAACACATGGATAGAGAGGAAAAAACGAAACAGCAAATCTCTCGCTATGAACTCGAGCCGTTCAGATGACTAGGTCAGCTTTCTGCTTTGCTGATCTGCTTCCCCATTTGCCGTCATTTTCTTTCACTAGCTTATTGACTGCACACTGACAAAAGAATTAAAGGTATCCCCAACAAGAGAGCTGTGCAGACCCTAAAGCTGCCAAGGAAGAGAGTTGGTTTCCTGCCCTTCTACTCACAAAAGATTATAAAGAAAAGTCCTTTTTTCTTATTTTTTTTTATTTGATGAATGAGATTTACATTCATGGCCTCAATGCAAACTCCTTGGAAGTGACTTGAAGACTAGAAACCAGGAATACATTACAAAGTCAAATACTACAGTCTCTTGCATCAAGATATTTCTGATCAGGAACATTTCACACAGCCAGTCCTCAAGAACTCAGAGGCAGCATGTCAATCACAATAGGAGTGTGGTATGTAAGAGCTAGAGAAAAGTTTCAAGAATGACCCCTCTTCTTGGATTATGTCAATTCTAGATACTTTATATTGTCCCCATGCTCGGATCAAGTTCCTGCAAGCAAAGCCCTAGAATTGTTTGTAGATATTAAATCCTGAATTAGAAAAAGAGAGTCTTCATATTTGAACTTCACCACTTTCTAGACTAAACATTGCAAGGTTAGCTGAAGAGATCCAATCAGTTTACCTCAGACAATCCTGTCACTACCAGACAAGGGAATAAAGCCATGTTTCTGTCAAGGAAGGTCAATGGAATATTCCAACCTTTGTCCATTAAGAAATTGAGTGAGTTTCCAAAAGGAAAAGGTCAGGAAGGTTTCTCATGTGCTGTTAAGCTGGGAGCCTCTGGTACAGCCTGCTCTTCCCCAGCAGCGTCTCCCTACAACACAACAGGAAGAATCCAAAACGGTTCCTTGGTTAAAAATGATGCGCAAGCAAAGATATATCCAGATAAGTTGGTAAAATGGGGGTCGATTATTTCTGTTTGGATGACCTGAAATGCATGAAGGAATCCAAGTCCAGTTGCAAAAGCCTTCACAGAGAAGGTATCAGGTAAGACCGTATGCTAGGTTCTGCCATTTTGCATGAACAATCTGATGAGGTCAGCTCTGTGGTGCCTCAAGCAGAGCCATGAACCTCAGAAGTGTGGGGGGGTAGTCACCTTACCCGCTAAGAGAAACAGAACAGTAGGTGGTGGTGGCAATGATGAAGACATGCAGTTTGGGATGAGAGTCTCCGCTTGTTGGGTGAACCGCTCCAGCTCATTGAAAGAATGGCAACAAACTGAATCAGCAATGAGGCACCGGTGACTGATGATTCTCCTAAATTTCAATGTTGCGCCATGTGGTTGAACGGAGGGCAAAGGAGTTTTTCCAACCCACACATCAGGACCAGAAGATTGTGAATGGTGCTAAGGAGAGGAGCTCACCAGTGAGAGGCAGAGACCTCTTCTTACCTTTGAGTTGGAGGCACGTCCCAAACCAGTAGGTCCGACACCAAAGGCAGAGGCAGCCTGCCACTGCTGAATGTCCTGAAATCCGACTAAGCAATGTGGGTTGACCCTTCTTCCCAGTTCAAGTCAAAGCCTTGCAAGGGAAACTGATCTTCATAGAATGTTGGAACCCTAAATTCTGAACACAGACACTTTTTGCGTTGGTCAGCGACAGACAATGAACATCCCTTGAAGCCAGATGTTGTCTTAGACCTAAGATGTGGGCTCAGGCAATTTGTAACATTACTGCTAAAACTTAAAAGAAAATGTGACTTTGACAACAAAGCTTTCTCAGGTCTTACATGGTCTGCAGAAACAAAAGCAGCAAGGACAAATATGATGCTTAAGTAGGAACAGTCTGAAAGTACATGCATTGTTGTGTATGGGTGCACTTCGCCTTTAATACACTTTGCTATAAAGGGTCCTCTGATCTGCAAGAGGATGCCACGAGAGCTCCAGAGGACCAGACACCAGCTGGAAGATAGCTCAAGAAAAGAAGTGGCTTTATTTTTTTAGTTTGGGCCCTGTTGTCCTTAGAAGGTACATCTAAGGACTGTAGTTCCTGGCTATCAATCTGAAAGTGGAGTTCAGTACTCCTCTGCCCACAAGCCAGTGGCACTCCAGCTAATTTACGCATTACATTCTCAAGAGCGATCATTTATTAAAAACTGAGGTTAAAAACAGCACACATAGAATGCCCTTAACAACAGCTGTTCTCTAACCAGATGTAGCAAGAATTTTACCTCCAAAACAAAAGAGCACAAAGCAGATGCTTTGGGATTAGGTCTTTTTGTCCCTGACAAGCTGAACTATTGCCCCGAGATGGATGCTAACAAGCTGGAGAAAATTCAAAACAAAGCCAAGTGAAGCTTGACATGGTATATACACAAGAGGACTGGCTTACGGGTCGTCCATGAAGTCGTAGATCTCCCTCATAGCCACACCTCCCACATTGACAAAAAAGACAAGTCGTAACAGGACCAAGTAGTGTTCTGGTGGCATCCAAAGGACAAACTTCAAGTAAAATGTGTTCAGCTCTGCCAATAAAAACTGAGAGAAAGGACATTTTAATTACATTCAGAAGACTTCACTGAATGAAGCCTGGAATCTCCCTCTCTCCCTGCATGACTCCCCCCACCATCTCTCTAACTCCACAAAGTCCTACTCAGTATTACTGAGCACACCATCATCAGTTGCAATAATGACCAAGAACAGCTGAGTTTTTAAAAATTTTCTGTGTGTTGGAAGAGCTATTAAAAAAAACACACAACAGAAACCTGGACAAGCACTGCCCCTAATTTTGAACGAGTTTATCAGGAGTTTGAAGTTCCTGCAGGACTACTGATAACAAATCCTAAACGCAACTTGTCCTTTCACTATCACTTAAAATCTGACTGAGGGAACCCCAAAATAACAAGAGGCATAAGCAGTACATCCTGGGTTTTTTTGTTTGGTTCATTCTTTTACCCAGTTACACAAACGCCACTGCCTAAAGCCAACTTAGGAGAACCAGTTATACATTTATAGCAAAATGTTCTCAAGTGAGCTGCCCTGGCAATGTGATTAAGTGAGCAAGTAGACACAAGTTTCTCCCTTCAAAAGAAATGATAACAAATGGCATTAAGCATTGTTTAATCCAAAAGAGTGAGCCAACACCTGAAGCTGCTTATAAACTGTCAGCCGAAGCTAGGCTTTGCTAAAAGAAACATTACTATGCCAGAGACTAATATAAATTCAACGGAATCTCTCAGTTGCAAAATCTGCTCCAGCACCCAAAACCCAGTTTCTTCAGGGTGCAAGCCTGGGAGCATGCACGCAGCATCCATTTGGAGAAACATGTATTTTCTTTATACAGGCACGTTTATTTCTCCCATAAACTACAGGAACCTCAGCAAGTCTGTTGTGCTGTGTGAACTTGGCAAGTGTTTTATGTAGCGGAAATCAGGTGATGTGAACTTGTATTCAACTGACTGAGTTTGCAAACCGCCTGGCACTCATCGCTGGCACTGCTATGCGCTGCTTGCTTACTTACAAACGGCACATTGTTCCTGAAGCATACTCAGGTCTGCATTTTGACATCAGCATGAAATGCAATGTTATTATGAGAGAGAGAGAGGTGGTGGTGGCTTCCAAGCTGACCAATTTGTCCCACTCAGCAAACCATAATAGGGAACTTCACTGGACAGACCCCAAAATAAACCACCACCAGATTTCATATTCCAGATATTTCAAGATGCTTAAAGGTACGCTGTTCTAGCAACTGTTAAAAAATACAGAGAGTTTTATCCTGTACCATAGCAGTAATACAGAAACTGGTCAGTGCCCATTGTCTCTGGAACCACTACAAGTGGCACAAGGGTTGTTTTAGTTAAACTTCTCAGTTGCTGAGCTGAAGCAAGTTTGAGTTGCTCAGAACAGAGCCAAGTGACATCCTGTGGACAGCACAAAGGCTCAGGTCCCCCAGCTGACAAGAGGCATAAGTGGGGAAAAAAGCACTTAAACTGCCAGGTTCCATATCACTCCTTATCAGTGATGTGTGTGCGATACCTGTGACTGAAATAGAAGTTATGAATTCAAGATGATGCATTCCCATAATACAAATTCAGCCACTCAGATGGCTAGATGAAGGAGGCAGACTGTCAATTTGTTATGAATCCTGCAGAAGTCAACTTTCTCTTTTGACTGAATGGGGGAGCTAGTTTACCTGAACTGGTCAAGCTGGATACTGTTAACACCATCACATGCTATGTGTTCAGTGAAACATAAAAAAAGAAAAATCTAGGATAATTGAATTAATTATGTCTCCATAAAAATACTACCTGAGGCAAAACTGTGTGCCTCTGGAGCTGTGCTGCTCAGAGCTAACATAGAAGCCTGAGGCTTTGGTTACAGTCCTCTCCAGCTGTAATGCAATATGTATCTGCTTAAGACTGAGAGGAAAGATGGCATTTTCATCCAAAGCCAATGTTTTTGGTAGTACTCCTTACTTGCTGAATTATGTGTAGATCACAGTTTATATTGCTGACAATGCAATCAACATTGTTCAGCAAGCAAGAACAAATATTTATACAATGAATCTGTAAACTGTAGCAGAGACACGGAAATAGACACCTTTTCTGCAGGATTTGGAAGTGATCTCTTCCAGCCTAAACTAAAGAAACATCACCATGTCAGAGCTTCAGCCTAAGTTACCATTTGTGCAGTTGCTTGAGTGTTACAAAACATTGAATCAAACCACACAGAAGAGACAAGACAGAGAAGTTTCCTTACTACGAAAATTATGCCACAAACTGCTAGCCATCTGCGTAAGCTGGATGCTGGCTTCCACTCAAACTTGACCCAGCTATACGGGGTGAACTGGAAGACAATTCTCTTCATTTTACCTCTAAAAAAAAGCAGAATACATTATTGCAATTTTAAGAAACAGCACATGGGACATGTACTAACATTTCCATTTGAGACACCAATTCACATATGCAAAATGCCTCCGTTGACTCCATCAAAATTACTACTTAATGAGATTAACATTGAGTTAGAGAAGCCTGTTATTTGGACTATGATTTTAAACTTTAATATACTACAGGCATTGTAGTAAGCAGTTCCTCAGTTCTGCTTTGCTCAGCAAAGACACGCTACGGAAAAGGACAGTTCATTACTGGTACAAGACTACAAGGGATTTATTAAATTTTCAGTTTCAGCGTCCCAATTACTAAGAAGTTCTGATTACTAGGGAATGCATTATTGGCACAAGGACCAAACAGATCATTGCTGTGAATAAAAGAGTAAGATCCCAACTTGGATTCCCACATCTCCTTTAACAATTTCATTAAATAAGCTAATTTCCATAAGATGCCCTCGTTTCTAGTCGTCAGGCAATGCTCATGACAGACAGGTATATTTTCAACAATTTCATTCGCAAGTTAAATAAAACTCTCATAAACAAGCTTCCATGCAGTAATAAGTTACTAGATACTTGAGTCATCTAAACACACATGAATTCTTTAGTTCACGTTAACCCTAACAGAACAACCCTTCAACAACCAAGATCTTTAACATGGGTCCAAACTTTGCACTGTGCTACTACTTGTGGAGTTAACTTTCTACACCAACTTACTTGTATGTAGGAATGTTCCAAAGTCCTTGCCATTTGTATGTTTTCAAAGAAAGCCAAGACAGAGTCTTCATCCCACAGTAAATTCCTAATCCATTACATAAGATGACATCCATTATCCACTGAAAGGAGAAAACACAGTGATGCTGGAGAAGAAACACTGAAGCTTGTAAAATGGAAGATACTGTAGGTACACATACATGCAGACACTCTCAGCCAGAAGGATTCAACATTCCCAGAGAGGAGAGGTGCATGAACTGTCAGGGGGAAGAATCTCAGCTGCCTTAGCCTACTCAAATAAAGCAAAAGTGTTCTACAGATGGTGGCTATAGATTCTCTTTTGCTGTATTCATTCCGCTACAGAACAGACCTCTTCCTACTTACTATCAGCTCCACTCCACTCAGTTAACTGAGAACCTTAGAAACACACCAAAAAAAAAAAAATCCAAACATGTTCTTACGGGTTGGATTTTGCTATGCCAAATAACTCCACATACTCTTTAAGCTTTAGGCTGCCTCCTAAAGAAATGACTAAAAGAGACCCCAGGCTCAAGATGTGAAATTAAACAAGTGATTTCTCCTCATGCTCTGTCTTATTGCCAAGCGTTAATTCTGGAGATGGAGCTCTTGAGCTGAAAAAAACCTGGCTGTCCTCTGCATTCAAAGAAGCAGAACACAGAGTGTTAATTTCATAAGAAGTTTTTTTTGAAGGAAAAATAGCTTTGCTTGATGTCTTTATACATAATGCATTTACTTTTATAAAGACAACCACATAGCAAATCATTACAAGCTTGGGAAAGAGCTTGTATTGTAAGAATAAAAACAAGCCAAAATAAGAGCCGTAGCTGTGTGCCCTGAACGTAGATAATTTTGATCACTCTGGTAACCAATTTACATTTCATAGGAAAATAATTTTTTTTTTAAAAAAAAAAAGTATCACTTTAAGCTATAGAGCTTGTTTTTTCCACAGAGAAACTAGATCACAGCAGTCCCTCTGGCTTGAAAAAATACACACAAGCAGCATTTTAGGACAAGAACAGTTACAGACTACCACGTACAAAGACCATACAGCTTTCCAGTGAGGTCACATGTTTATCTCTTAAAACTTTTTTATAAACCACACCAGAAATTCTAACACAGTAATATTTACTGTTTTCAGAAAACAGTCACGATAGGTTTGCACACAAGGAAGAGCTGGACACAAACTGCACTTAGTCTGTGGGGGTTTTTTTAACAGGCAAGAAAAATTACCATCTGAAACTTTATACACAAATTTTTACCTTTCTCTTAATTTCAGATTTTATGGTCTGTATCAAATATTTGAAAATGTTCAGGTAAAGCTTTAGATTCTTTCTCTGGTGTGAAATGAACCAAAATAAATATTTAACCATGTGCAATAGTTCGAAAACCCACAAAATTATACAAACAGAGACAAACATATTACAAACTCAACATGGAGAAGCACCACTGCTCCTGAGCTGCAGCAGTCATATATCCATCCTTGGCCCCATGCACACCATATAATTTAGTTCTCACCACTTCCTACCCCCTCCCTTTGAAATACATACTTCCATTTAGACAAATATATCATGATCTATGCAGTACATACATGATCCCACCAACATTCACTGAAGTTTGGAAGCTGGTGTTCCAGACTGTACTCCAGAAACTCAAACATTACACTGATGATCATACACATCCACCAGTCTCGAATCATCAATGTCTGCATAAAGGGAGAAAAGTCTTTCAAATATCCACAATAGTTGCACAACATACTAAAAACCATTACAAAAATGAATACTTGCACACCAGACTGAGTAGAACCAGATGCCACTTACACTAAGGCCCTTTAGAAATCTAAATAAAGGAGAAGTCCATAAATACTGTAGAGACACCGCTCAGATTTAGTTTTGCAACAGTGTATGAAAAACTATTACCTTTTTTTCCTAATTTCAAAACTTCTGGACTCAGAACACACTCATGGTGTGCTTTGTTTACCAGTTATTTCTACAGTGGAATATCTCATCTCCAGTATCCAGAAAAGGATCAGGAAACTCACAATAATCTTAATTTTTATGATGTGATAGCTGAGTGAAGCCAAATGCTCACAGACCTCTAAACTTATCAAGTATGCAGCACAACAGACAAGAAAGGCACTGAAGAGTATAGGTGACGGCATTAGTATCATTACATGAAAGAACAAAGGCAGGTAAGATAGGATTCAGTAGGAAGGAAATTAGTTAAATGAATGAAATTACTGGCTGCTTTGCCACCACAGGTAGCATCATTCTAATGCTGCTCAAAAAAGGCTTTTCGGAGCCTCCTTAATGCAAACTTTAAAAAAGCCACCTGCACTAAATCTCAGCCCTGACTGTGCTGGGACACCTGAGTCTACTTTATACCAGCTAGCAGCTTGTCAAGGTGAGCAATAAAGAGCAGCATCTTCTTCCACATTCAGCAGAAGCATTCAGCTGAGCTGCAGTCCTAGAACATACATATCCTCTCAGCCTACTGTCAAAACAAGAGAAGAGATTTGTGGTAACACTTTATTTCATGTTTGTAAGTGGGTAAGAGCAGAGAGTCTGTGCATCTGGTCTGCTGTATCCTCAGCAGGGCGCCTAGATGGAAGGTGGCAACCCCAAATGCACTAATACTGATTCTGCAAAAGTAAATGTAGCTTAGCCTTGACTGCCTCAACCAGAAGATGGAAAAATATATGAGGTGCATTATCACTTGTTTGTCTGACAACATGTGACCTAAATGACTTCAAAGAAAACAGGGAGGCCCACAGTAATTTCTGATGAACGAGGCGCATTTATTCTTGATATTGCCATTCTGGCGCTTTGAGATATAGCTTAAGTCTGCTACTCGAACCAGACAAAAAAACAAGAGGAGGAAAAACCCAAACACAGGCTCATCTGTTTACAAAGCCAACACACTCAGCTTCCAGCTTTTTATAGAAAAATATGTTAACTGACAAATAAGAAATATAGCAGACAGTTTCCTTCATGCTTAGCAGCACAGAAACAAACACGTCGTGGAGTATGCTGGGCTCTTCAAACCAGACTGCAGGGTGACAGGCTGACGTATGATCTCAACCATTTCTGCAGGAACTGTCTCTTTAATAAAAACCAGGCTTCTTCCAGACCAAGACAGATAATAGCTTGATTGAGTAGACCAGCATATTGAATTCTATCCCATTCTAGTTCCTCAGGAATGTGTTACTACTCACCTCATGTCTTGTTACCAGGCTCTCACTTTTTAGGCATTTGTTCCTCAGTATGACATTATTTGTAAAAATAAATACAGAACGTAGCTGAAATGCTGTTTTGATATTTAAGTTTCTAATGTAATTCTCTTGGATGAAGAAGATCCAAGTTTCTCCAAATTTACAATTCTGTATACTATAGAGCAAGTCACCAACAAGTTGATCTGAAGCCAAAGTCCCCCCATGCCTAGCATACTCATCTTTTGATTATGGAGGGGGGGGGAAAAAAAAAAAAAAAAAAGACCAAACCAAAACACTCATAGGAATACATCTGCAGTTTTGAAATGGAAAAACAATACAACAGTGGTAGCTTATTTTTAAAATGGCCTGAGCTTTTTCAGTTTATTATTTGCGGTGGTCTTGTAGGTTAAAAAAACCAAACAAGGTCTGCAGGGAAAAATAAAGTTAGCTATTAAGTTTGCTCAGGTTAAAAAAAAAAAGCCAATATTTAGACCACAGTATTCAGCAAAACGTGTTGAATGTGTTCTGCCAGAGACAAGCACAACTGGAATTCCTTCCATAGTTGGTTGATATTGACTAAAAAGTAACAAGATTTAAACAACTATCAATTTAATTATTTAAAAATCCCAATTTGGAAGCCACTGGGAAAGGCCTGCCTTATAACAGTAATAGTAGATCATCATGCATCTGTGTTTGGGTAACAGCAGACTTTCACTGCCTTCTCTGAAGGCCGTCTTCCCCATACTCTACATTCAAAGGTCATTCAAGCATTTATCTTACTACAGGAGCAAAGGTTTTTACTTTTATTGATCTGACCTCAGAATGAATTATGGTGGAGGAGGGAGCTCATCAATGTAATGTTACTTTGGAAAGAAATGAGGTGATGTAACACAGTCAGGAGGAAAAAAAAAAAAACAACAAAACAAAACACAAACCAAAAGCCTTCCCTGTATTACAAACACTTAGTCTAGTTCACAGATGACTGCCTAATATAATTGATCAGAAAGACCGGCATCACTAAAACAGAAGCAGTGAAGCTTTAAAAATAGAATAGTACTGTAACAGAAATGTAACAGAAGACCCATTCTTACTTTCAGGTACCAGCCAAAAAAGTGAGCAGGAACAAATCCATCCAGTTTGTCCTATAAACCAAGAAGAGAGTGTAGGTCACTTTTCACTACAAACAATAACCTACTCTTAAGGCTAATTTTTTCCCCAAGAAAAACGCAGCAATAAACTTCAGTTGTTTCACATATAAATACTAGATGAAGTTTATGAGTTTCTTTGTTCTCAAGTACAGTGAACAAACAAGCTATCTTCAAAGCAAAGTCAACAACAAATTTTAAGGGGCAGAAACTGGAATTAGGATTGTATTGATAAAGCAGAGACTACCTTTTTAATACTAAATGTCACCTTCCTTGGGGACAGAAACAGAACATGCATTTCTTCATCAGATCCCCAGTCTTGTATCTAGCAGAGCTTCTTAAATCTTATCAGTCCTGCAACCATAAATCCTTGGGCAAAGAGTGCCTTTCTTCCTCCTCGTTTTGGTACAAGACTAGAAAAGGACAGCTGTAATTGCTCTCAGTTATTCCAGTTCCTGATGCACTGAAGGCTTATAGGGTAGACCCAAAGGATTCAGTGCTCCTCCCTACACAAGCACTTACAGCTTCAGGCAATAAGGGAGTTGTAAATAATCATAATTCCTTTGCCTTTGAATTTCAAGTCTTCTGTTTGCCAGTGAGAAACAATAACCTGACAGTTTCTGGTATCTGGAAAAGTGCAACATACAGGTTGCTTGGCAACATGCAACTTTGGAACTTTGTGCCTCAAGGTGACTGTGAGTAGGAGATTCTTTAAGCACACAAATAAATCCAAACTCCTAGGGGAAAAGGTTCACATCAATAATCTGAGAAACAAGAGTTATTAAACTGTTTACGCTCTCTCCTGGGCAATGTAATTAGGATACAAAGAGACACATCTCCATCTGATCGACAGGAAAGGTCAAGGGAAGAGAAATATAGAAGCTAAAGAGTCAGTCATGACCCATTTTCTGATTCAACACTCAAAGACTCACAACTGCACTTTGAAGAGTTCAATTAAGCAATCGTTTACCAAAAAATACTCAAACTCATTACCAAGTAACTTTATTTGTTTCTTACCCAGACGTTGTGAAATGGATCAGTTGCATTGCCAGGATCATAAATAAGGCAGTTGCCACCGTAGTCTCTTTCTGGCAAAGGAACACCTAAGTGTGGATCAATGTACTTCATAAACTGTCTGCCATCCTGTACAGTCTGCAAAAGGAACACAAACCACGTGTCTCCCTCTTAATAAGTATTAATGCCCAGAGAAGTACAAAGTTAATTAAGATCAACATCGTATCTTCAAATGGTGGAGTTTTTTCAAATCTGTTGTAGAACAATTCTTGAAATATATCCAGACCTCAAAGCATCACACAGCATATACACCTGACTTTGAGCCTCTGATGCTAAATATTAAAGAAAAAAAATGACTACAGAATGAACTTTGGACTTCTTAAAGATGAAAAATCAGAGATCCTTAACTGTTTCATAAGTGACTCCTCTATGCCTCCTGCCTCCCAAAAGCTTAGCACTCAAACTGGCACACAATTCATCCTTCCCACTGACTCTTTTGCCCTTCCTCTCTCCTCCTCAGGCTTGGCGAGGGTAAAGAAAAAGCAGCCAGTAACTCAGGAAAAGCTTGTTTAACGGTTGCATCTCCTGCGTTAGTGACCTTCTAGTTTCCTAGCATGGGAAAGATCCAGCAGCACTTCAAACACAGAGCTCGAGTGAAATCCCGCACGTGCAAACATCAGCAGATTGAGCACACTGACTAGGTGCACTGTTAGCAGGATTACTCGTGCATGTGTGCTCTGCTCACTTCAGCTACAGAAAGTCAAGAACTGCACTGCATTTCACAGCAGAAAAAAATTAGTGCAGCCTGTTGAATAAACAGTCATTTCAAAGAAGGTCTCACTTATCTGAAGCAGCATGGGTGATAAACTTGAAGCAAACAGCAAGGAAGAAATTATCAAAATATTAGTTATAAACAGTGACCAAATCTTGAACTAATTTACTAGTAACTTAGACACACATTTGCTGAATAAGTATTTCCCAATGAAACTGCTCACTGTTGTGGTCAATGTTTTACAACAGCAGAACCGTGACATCTATGACAGACTAGCAGACAGTAAAAGTAGGGCAAGGCCAAAATTAGTTAATAGTGATAATAATAAAATTATAGAATAAAATCACTATAGTCACATTAACTGTAAGACGAGTTTCAACTATGAGCAAGCCTGTATTTGCTTTTAAGGAAGTTTAGTCACTTAGAGACTCAGCATAATTTTAACCTAATTTAAATCTGTACAAAGTAATAATGTGTTTTTAGTAAAGAGCTGAGCAACAGCTAATGAGTGTCCTGAACCACTAAAAGGCTGGTAACATAACATACCGCCAGAGGAAAACAAAGCAATTCCAGGCTTTTCTATTAGAATTCTGAACTACAACAGTACTATCAAATAAAAATGAAGCATATCATTCAGTCTGACAGCAGCTAGTCAGGAGTATCATTTACAAGGATGCCTGGAAAAAAAACAGGATGACATGAAATAGAAACAACATAAGAATAAATTGGAACTGAGTAAGTATTCCTCAGTGGTGAGGAATAACAACAAAAAAGGCAAGACAGACCTGTTCATGCCTGTGCAAGCGCCAGAACTCCACTTCCTCCAAGCTGGACAGGCAGCCTGAAAGAAACCCTAATGAGACATCAGGGCCCTGCATAAGGATTTACTCTGAACTCCCAAGTTAGGCCAACGGGACAGGAACCGACATTGCTTTGTGTTTTGTGTTCTTAAGAGAGCTTGGCACTGAGTTTTGGGGAGGGTCCAGGAAAGCGAAGCAGAACAAGAAAAGCTGGAGCCAAAGGAAATTTTTGATTAGCTGGAAAGGGTTCGATCGATATTAAAAATTTGTTTGCAAAGCAAATGCCCTATTCCAACAGAAGACAGATGACAGATCCTGATACATTTGAATTCCAGCCCCACCTCTTCAAGGTCACTTGGCCTCCAGAGGCAAAACTTTTTTTTTTTTTTAAAAAAAACACAACATGTTCCTCATCCTTCCATCATCTAAAATTATTTTTTAAAGCTACCTGATCAGTATGTGATGGTATTTGCACAAGCCTTTTAAAATACAGAGCACCAAACGTTACTAAGAAGTCCGCAAGAAGGGCCTGTCTGAAAATGAGCAACTGGGGACTCTAATTGGAATTTCAGTCTGAAAAGTAGCCAGCTGTCTGACAGAACAGGACAGTTACCTCTCACAGTTTAACACCTCTACATTTGCTTTTGGTTTCAAATCGTCCTGTTGCCTGAGGAGATGACTGCAATAATTGGATTGAGTAACTGAGGAAAGGATGAGCGCCCTTCAAAATCTCGAGCTCTTTCTTGGGACTCAAACTTGATTTGCAGTGGTGGAAGTATACATATAGGAACACAATGGCTTTGTTAATAGCATCAGGTTTACTGCTCTTGTTTATTCCAAAATATTTTACTTCAACTGTTGCATTTCTGAGAAGTCATAGAATTGTAAAAGCCAGGGGAAAATTCTCAATTTACTGAAGGACAAGAATACGGTTAAAAATAATGTGCTTTATTTGGAAGTACCAATAGCATGTCTTTCTAGTAAAAGATCATCCTCAGTTTGCTGCAACTACACAAAGTTGTGTATGAAGTTTTGGTTTATTGCAAAAAACCCCAAACATTCAAAGCACCTATCATTCAAGGTAAAAAGTATTTCAAAAGCTTAAACAAGTTGAATTCACTCCACAATCTCTAGGATCTAAGAAACTAACAGCTGGTACGCAACTTCAGCAAGTCACGTTAAGTCCAGCAGTGCAGGGACTAAACATGTGAAGCACTGACTCCTGACCATTTGATCTAAACAAGAAACCTGACTTCTTATCAACTCATTTAAGAACACTTCACCGCTCTGTCTAACCTAGGCTGAGACTAACTGGAGGTTAGACAAGGTGAAATATTTTCACAATATTGCAATTTCTCCTCAACCTAGAAGTCTCACTAAATAGCACAATGATTCGATTTAAAAAAATTGAAAAGCATCTCCTGTAGTCAGCAAGAATCCTAAAGAATGCCACAAAGGATTTTATATTCACATTAAACTCGCACTTAATAACTAGAGGTCCAAGTTACTTACCTGAAAGAGTATAAAGATGAGGAAGAGCTCATACACAACGCTGACACACAGCCAAAACCTCCAGTAAGCTACAGAAACAGACAAACGGGATGTTAGCAAGCTTTCAAGCAAAACAGCAGTCAATTATTAATTTACCGTAACATAACTAAACATTTCAAGAAGAGATGCTCCCACCAAGAAATTATAAAGCCCAGCATTCAAGTAAAGCGTTCGCCATCCTTCCTAAAGAGTACAACCAGAAAGGCTCTGTAACTACCAGCCAGGCTGCTACGTAAATTTGCCAGAATTGCTCAGGCAATGACCTGGATCTGTGAGAATGGACCAGGATCCATAAGAACATTCAACTCCATGAACTAAATATTTAAGAATTAGAAGGGATGATATGTGTCACATGCAATGCTTTCTAGCAGTCCTTGGAAGACAACTATATCCTTCCTGAACTAATCTAATTTCTTTCTCCACCATCTCACATAACCTGAGCTGTCCAACCTTCGTCTTCCCAGCCCCATCATGGCTAACACGCTTTGCCAACTTCTGCCGACGTACTGGTAAAACAGACAAGACCGAGATCAGCAGGATGAACCACTGCTTTTACTCTTGTAAGCCCATCTTTTTCCCCTGAAGACAAGGTTGTTTCCTCAAGGGGCAGAAAGCATTTCAAAATACCACGGATAATTGCACTTTTACTAGGAATTAAAAAAAAAAAGTACCAAAGGTTTAGCAGGTGCTAGATGCAAGACCTATGAGATCATCTGAAACTCTTCATAAGAGAAATAGCATGCAAAACTCAGCTGCTTCAGAGTCTGCCATTGTTTTTCACCCTCCCAAGATGTGAGATTACAGATCTTCTCACACTGAAGCAACACCTGAATCTAAAGAGTACACACATTAAAGTATTTGTACACTTCCAGCTCCATCATTGTCACCTCAGTTCTTCTGAAAGACTCAGTCCTCAGGTAATAGGCTCTCTGACTGTCCTGGAGACAAGCTTGTGGTCCATGGGCTGCATTCATGCCCCTAATTCATCCCACTCCACCCAGAGACAGGTTTGGCCTCCATTCCATAAAGGGATTTCTGGGCTCTGAAATCTCATCCAGCGTTTTTGTTAACTCCTATATGAGAGGAAGCAGGTTAATGCAGAGCAAGTATGTGTACAGAGTGCTCCAGCATTTCTTCCTAACCACATCCAAAAATTTACACAAGGTAATTCAGCAAAACTCGACTCACTCCAAGTGGATATTTAAATCTCTCAGTCACGTCACATGCTAATCACTCTGGAATGACTGTAATAGACTTTCCTTCAGGTGTTTCCTGTTTACACTTATAAAACAGAGCTCTCCTTCCACGGTTACATCTAGGTGATAGTTAGACTTGGATTGGGGCAAAGAGGAATCAAGACAGTTGTTCGTATGGTTGAACGGAGAGAGCAAGCGATTCCACCTGCACAAACATGGTTCGCCATGAAGTGAAAAGAACAAGAACCCTCAGGCCTGATTTGGGCATCTATCTCTATTACCTCCAGCGCAACTTAGGTACGTTAATGTTTAAAAGCAGGATCATGACATAAATAATGCAAGGACTAAAGAGAAACTCCAGGCTGGCAAACATACTTGTTTATCAGCTCTGAACCTGCAATTAACTAGCCATGGTGCTGCAAAGCTTCCTAGAGGCTTGTTTGCCCCCTGAAACAAAAATAAATGTTGTCTTTGCCCAATTCAATCTCAAGTAGCCAAAAAAAAAAAATTCCACATTTTTACAAGAAGTCTCTGACAGCCTGCTTCTGACACCATCATTAAAATACACTGAAATGTGAGAAGGTGTGACCTTTTTTCAGAAAAACTGCTAAATTAATTTAATCAAAATGGCCTATGTTACACTCCCACAAAAAAAAAAAAAGGCAGGCGTGGCCTTGATAACAGAAGTTCAGAGCTCTGTAACAGCGTTCACTGGAAATTTGGAACTTTTAAGAGTTTTACTTCATGTCTAAAACATAATTGTCATTTCTTAATTATGCAATGAAGTGACTTCTTAGGGGTCAGTCATTAAAAAAACCCAAACAAATTTCTAAACACATGTTATAAGGTAGTTTTGCCCCTTGGTATCCTCGAGGGAAGGAAAGGCAGAGTTCAGCCTACTTTCTCCTTGGTGAGGCAAAAACTAGTGCCGCTTGTGCAGCTGTCCTGACACAAAAGTTGTAAAAACAGTTATTTCAAACTTCTGTCCTTCCTTCAGATTTGATTAACTTTCAAATCCATGGGCAAATTTCACTTAGGACTGATTGAGAGTATACCTGCACCCTCTTGTCTTTCCAGAATGCAGCTTAGGAAAAACAGGCAAAAAACCCTCCGCTGGCCAAAGGATTATTTGGAAGAGAGGAACCTCTCCCCAAGCCAGCACCACTGCACCGCTGAAAAATACTTCAGCCTTTTGAATGGGAGTCTGCAGGATACAAATACAGTGGTGATTAAAAAAATCGGTTTGTGTTTGATACGGTGTTTTCTATCCTTTCCTATAATGACTGCATACCTTGAAGAGTAAGGACTATGTCCAAGCCAGAAGCAAGAATTAACCTTTCATTAACACATTTCTCCCCCAAGAACTGAGCATTATTTCCTTCAAACATTGCCTTCAGACTATAGGCCTTAAAAATGCTGAGGTTCTGACCTATAAAGCCTTGTATAACAGATTTTACACTACTCACAGACATAAATGTGGCAGACTAGTCCTGAAACTGATGTACATACAGTTCAGAAAACAGAAAAATCTAAATCCTCATCTGCGCTTTTCTTCTCCTATATACATAGGGTTCTGGCAACAGATGATTTTCGGCTGCTGAGTATGCTCAGCAATACTTCATAATAAAAAAAAAATACAATGTGGTCATAATTTAGTGTGCTTTCTCCACAGCTGACATAAGTACCCAAGAGGTTTTGAAGACTACTTTATAGCTGTATGTGTACACCAGAAACAAGATGTTTTCAAAGCTGTACAAACACTCTGTTCTCTCTCTTCATGGACTGCCCTCAGCTTTAGCTATAAAGTTATTTTTGGCATACGTCTAACATTTGTTTTCTTTAAATGCACTTGTCGTTATGAACCTCCCTCAAATTAGGACTATCTTCCTGATTAAGTAGGCTTCAACTAATCATTTACATACCTGATAGTTTAGTGATTACTATGCTGAAACACTAAAGCGTTGCCATCGTAGGCTAACTTGCAAACACAAGATGAACGCTTAACAAGACTGCTGCCTGGCTGAGCGCAGAGCCAGCCACCTACCCTTATTTATCAACAGAGGTTTGGGTTTGACCTATGCCATCCAAAAGACTAAAAGAGTGAAGAAAAAAAAAACTCTAAGTTATATGCCCAAGCAAGGCACTTCTCTTAGAGCTGCTAAGTGGGTGGAAGCTATGAAGTGCTAATCAGAGGTTGCACAGGATGTGAGTAGGGAGAACTATCTGGTCGGAGCAGCCACAGGAGCCCGGGCCAGCACATGCCAGCCCACATTACAGCTCCGGAGTGCAAGGTTTTCCATGGCAAGCTCAGGTTCAAAAGCACCACCTGTGAGTTGCAATGATGAGGAGGTGGGAGAGAGGAACAGAGGGCAGCCGAGCCCTTCAGACTAGTCCTAGCTCTGCATGGGCAATTTTGTACTTCTCAATGTAATGCCTGAACACATTAAATGCTATGTTAAAACAGAAAAATATGAGTTAAAAGCTCAGCTTGTCCAACCCCCTAAACAGAGAGTCATTTATTCCTACCAGTCAGTGAAAAAGCAGCCAGTCCGTATCACCATCCCAGCAGTCCAACACATTTATGCAAAACCAGTGGTGAGTATCCAGATTCCTAAATTGTTAAAGGAGTTGTCAGAAAGGGGCAGATCACATACTAGTCCCTGGATAAAGTCCTAATGAAAGGATTTCTTCTTTGCAGAATTACAAGGCAACCAGCTGCTCTCCATCCAGTTTCATCAGCAGCCACTTCTGCCTGTGCCTGCTACCCAGGGACAGCTGGAGCAGAGACCCAGTTCTTCCCTGCCCATTCCTAGCTACTTCAGCCCTCCGGCCTACCGGTTGGCTAGGAACTTCCCAGCCTACTCTCCAAACAGCTTGTGCTGTCACACTTGATGTATTAAGTCAAAATAACTGTCGGCAAAGGTTGGGAATAACAAAAGTTATTTCTTAGGGCATTAATAACTGTCATGGAAAACTTCTTTAAAATTACAATGTGGGCATGTTTTCTTGACAAAGACAGTAACGCATCATTGAACTCTTACAACACCAGGCTATTTGCATGTTCAAGGCTCCATAAAAGGAGTTGACAATAAGAATGAAGAACATCTTTTGTTTGCAAATTCTAAAAAGTCAGCATATTGATGCTGACTTTATCCATGATTAATGTCATCATGAAATGCAATACACTCCCCAAATTTGGGTGTTCACCCACCAATAAATGGACCCTCAAGCAGAGCTTAAGATTTGTCCTGTGGAAAATATTGTTCCTTGGGGTTACAGCAGTGTTTCTCCTTTGCTAGAAGGTTTGGATGGAACCAAACGGTTTGAAGTCAGCAGTTTACAGGCAGGAAATTGAAAATGGGATAAAAAGCAGGGTAAGTTTGTAAAGAAGTCTTGCCTAAATAGTCATACATGCTTATTTTCATGACAGCCCAACATTTCTGAATTACAGTAAGGCAACTGGTATAGGTCTATATAGAAAATTATTAGCTAAACTGGAGAAAACAGAGGCGGGGGGGGGGGAATGTGTGCGTGAAATCAGTAGAAAAATGGTAAAGCTGGATGAGCCATTTGGCTAAAGCTGACATCACTGGGGGAAGGTCAAGGAAAAAAAAAAATAAAAAATCACCAGTCTGGATGGATACCACTTACGTGGCGGCTAAGATCAGTTTCAGTAATGGCCTTAGTGAAAAGTAGGTTAATAACATAAAGCACAAACAAAAGCAGCAGTGAAGGCAGAGACAACAAAGAGAAAAATCAGATGATCTCAAAGGACCAGAGTAATAGAAGAGCTTCACACTTAGGAGCCAGTAAGTTTTCATGTTAGCTCATCAACTGAAACAGAAGGATTTGCTATTGCCTGCCAGTCACTCAGCCGTCACTGTAATACAGCCATGAAAAAAGCACAAGCAATATAAAGATGGCCATCAAGGTTCTGCTAGAGACAGACTGGGAAGCATTAACACGATCACAAAACATATAAACGCTCACACATTTGCAATATCCTACAGAGTTCTGGACAGCCATTTTAAAGAATAAAACTCAAAATAAAACACACAAAGAGAAGGACTACCTACCATTATGGAGAAAGCAGACTTATATTGAGGGGATGAGACTAAAAGCAAAACTTGTTGCTTTAGAAAAATTTGTTTGCTTTAGCAAAACTAATGGTGAGTTGGCATAAGTGAGCTGTGTTTTAATAAATCAGGTGGATAAACACCGAGTAAGATGTGCTAATAAACAGAACAACAACTTTAGGCACAGAAACCAGACAAAAATGAAAACATCTGACCTGGTCATAAATAGGTACACGCATACTGAATAATAGAGCACCAAAAATGACCTGGCAGAAGCAGGGCATGAAACCCAGCTACCTTTAAGATACAGCTTGAAGAGTTCATGTAACAGATCTGATGTGGCTGTATGTGACCGTAGTGACCTGACTGACCCAAAAGCTTGCTTCTGCCCTATAAATGGAAGGAGCGCACACCAGCCGCCTGCGCTGCCAGTTCCTTTGAGATGAGATCTGTCTCCCGGAACGGCACCACAAAGCTGTCAGACTCGACTGCCTGATGGGAACTTCCCAATACACCCCTCCGAAACTGGAGAGCTGACGCTGAATTCCATGGGGCTGCAATGCCATGCCCTGTGCTGCCTGCGAGAGCCTTCCCACAGGAGAGGTATGGAGAAAGACTAATACTGTCCTTTGAACAGGCACCCAGATGTCCTGCTGTGACTGTGGAAGTATCCGCTATTCTAGCGAACTGCTACAGCCCCTGAGAACCATGCTTCAGAAGATCATCCCATCAAACAAGCTAGAGGAAGGGTGAAGTAAAGACAAAAGACGACATGAATACACTCAGTATTTGAAGTGATTGAATACATGGAAGTTTCTTCAATCACCCTGTTCATAAACAATTTGATTCTGCTGAAAGACACTCAGCTTCAGTCCAGTAACTGCTGTTTCCAAGACAGGAGCATACAGAGGTCGCAGACATTCGCTCCGTCTACGCTAGAAGTTTGCTGTAGGGATCTCTGACCTTTGGATTTTCCCCATCGAATCTGTACTACTTTGTTCTAGGGAACAAAAACAACTTCCATCCCAGACAAAACCACTGGATGTTCTAAAACTGAAAGCACTCAAGTATCACTGGTGTCCTTAAAAGAAGTAATTTGTCTTACAGGAGGAACCAGAATTAACTGTAACAGAAAGGAAGACTAAAAACTACTATTGAATAATACCTCAGAAATGCAAACTTCTGAATAAAACCTAAGTTTGCAGACCTGTGCTGTGGGCATTGCTCTAGAACTACTTCTGCTTTGATCAAGATTTTTAAGGTGTCTGCTGTTTCTCATAGAACCATAGAATCATTTAGGTTGGAAAAGACCCTTAAGATCATTGAGTCTAACCATTAACCTAGCACTGGAAGGTTAAATTTTTGGCATAAGGAAATATATAGCTTTATTTGACTGCAGGAGAGCCTAATGCTTTCAGAAATAGTATGTAAGCCTATATAAATTCCCTTAATTCTTTCTCAATGATTCACATCTAAACACAGGCAAAAGATCAAAGATATTATTTTCATACTTCACCTCATACAACACTACATGGAAGAGGTTTTGTGTTGTGCTTTCAAATGCTTTCAAGATTTAAAGTCTTACTAGAAATCTTTAAAATCATAATCAAGGGCTTCTAATCTACCAGTTATTGTGGCTAAAGGCCATAGAGCACAGGGAGAGCAGTGCTCCACCAACCAGATACGTGGTAGAAGTGCGGTCCCATTACAGAAACGAGGGGAAAAAAAGTGGGGAGGCGCAGGGATAAACAAGGGAAGTTAAGGTTTCAAGAATCTCGCAGTTCACACAAAGCTTTTTACTAACAACAGGAAGCCAAAACAGGGAGATCAAAAAAAATAAATAAAAAAAATCCTACGCTAATGCAGATTGAAAGCACGGAAGGACCACTATGCTGTTTGGAGGCTGGGTGGAAGCTGGGAGGCTCCACGGTAAGTGTGCAGTGTTAATGAACCTACATTATTATTTAGATTAGGACTTACCTTCTCTGCAAGTAACACAAATATTTACATTCACCATAAACCATGCAATTTATCAGAAATATCCGAGGGACTTAAGCAATGTAAATTACCTGGATGAGGTCTTGAAAATGGTCCATCTTTAGCTTGTGTAACTCCAAAACATAAGAAAACCAAAATACTGGCAACAATGCCTCTGAAAGTGAAAAACAGAACAAACTGTTTATATTGCTTCATCTTCTTCATGAAATTGTAAATTATATTCTTTGGTGTAAAAAATGTCTGGTCTTTGTTTGTTAACTACTAAACATGTCCGTCATTAACAGATGCCTTTTGGAGACTGTATTTCAAGGAAACAGGTACAAATTCCTGTCCTTTTACGTGTGGTTTCATGACAGAGTGTCTCAAACCCCAAAGTTTGTCCATTCATCCTTCTCCCTTCCTCCCCATTAACCACGTGCTTCCATTCCTTCCATTTTGCTGTCGTTTACGAGTATCCGGGCAGCCAGGTGAGGAGCCTGATCTGGCTGAGAACTCACCCAGCAAAAACAAAACAAAAAGAGCAGTTCCTTGACCCACATGATGAGCCTTAGCCAGCAGATGATCATGAGATGCACAATAAATCAAATGCTTCCCTACATCTTTGAGAAGCTTTTATGCCCACTGTCAGAAAGACACTTAAAATTTAGCAGCAAGAAAGCTCTCAAGTTAAAGTGCTTCTCATTGCTCCAGTAAAATTTCAATGAAATTTAAAAATGAACTGTTGAACTTGTCACCACTCCAGAACATTTTCTTAGTCAACTAAAGACAGGGAGGAGCTTCTAAGACCAAACCAGCACGGCTGCTATTTCAAGAGCTGGAACTACAATACAGAGCCTAACGGAACATAACAGAGACATTAAAGGAAAAACCCTAATCATCAGACCATGAGCCCAAGTATACCTAAGACCCACAACCTCATCCCAATACCCCAAGCCCAGACCTGCAGAGTTTTCTCTCAACCTCAGCAAGGTAAGCCCTAATGAGGACTGCCACAGTCCTGCCGTCCACCGCCTTCCAGGAGGGCAGCATTTCTGCACATTACCAGAATGGGATGGTGCAAGGACTGATCCGGCTGAAAACTAACCTAGGAAAAAAACAACTTGTATTCAGTTGGCTCAGCTCACCACCCTGACAAGGAAGGAAAACAGCAGTCCCCATTTAAGGCTAAACCATCAGCTTAAGCCAATGTGGAACTGAACCCTTACGGGCAACCAGAAGGCTCCAGGAAGAGATCCTTAGCGATCAAACAGCAAACTAAGCAAGCAACATTCAAGATCCAGGATTTGAAGCCCACTAATTACATGCAGTATGTTTTTCAATAAAGTTCTGGTTTGCAAGTAAAAGAAAAATGAGAAAATGCAAATGCTCCTGTCCGAATGCCTGACCCTTACCGTCAGGAACATCTCTCCCTCAGTATGCAGAACAGAACGAAGGAGACACAGATGCGAGTTAGGTGGGTGAAGTCTGGCATTTAATTTCAAAGTAGCTAACATCAACTTAAAATTCTCCCGAGATTTTAAGTAACAGATTTTAAACATCTCGCATGCACAAAACGTCATTTCTTTTTCAGGGTTCACCTCTTGTTTTTCATGAGGACAAAGCCTCATATTCTAGGCATGTTCCTTTAGTCCTAACAAATGAAACAGTATAAAGCAATTGAAAAATACTCTTTTTTTTTCTACCTCTGAACTCCCAATAGATCTTTCATGCTTTCTCATATTACCTCCTTAAGAGCTGGCTGAAGAAACAGACAATTAAGAAATATCTCGCTACACCGCAGGGTAAGTGCGGGCCATGTTAGCAGTACATGACGCAACTCTTCACTGTAAATAAAATGGTTCTGCTGCAGGAGCCAGAGAAAATACCCTATAATTTTGCTTTTATTGAGAAAATGTTACATACCAGAAGCAATAGTAGACTATGCATACTTCAAACATTTCAAAAACTTATTTCAAAATTGAAAATAAAAGCATTTACGAAAACTATTTTGTCACATTCACCTCTGAGTATAAAAAGTTTGTGCTGCCTGAAAACAAAAATGGGTTTTATTTAACAGATGTAACTCGGTTCTTTTGCTTGCTTTATGACCCTGGGAAGCACAACAGAATTAGCTACTGAATGAAATAGCAAATAGATAGTTCCACCATGATTTTCAAAGATGAAGACGCCAAAAAACTTTTCAGCTGCTCTCAAATAATGAGAATATTCTGCATTTCGAGTCACTAGTCTGTATTTGAAATACCAGGAGTGCAAATTTACGTTTACAGGGAATAGTCTGCATTCTGTGTTGTGTAACAATACACATCTCTTTGTTCACAATCATTATGCTCAACCATCAACGAAGACGTCCAAGATGATTGTTTTAGGCCTTGTGAGGGTAATTCTCCCAAAGCTGGAGATGACCTGAATCTAAATCACCACAGGGACTTAGTGTTATGCTCCCTTTCCTAAAGCCCACTCTCAGCCAAACAGTCGATGCAGCAGCTGCGCTGAAATAAGCTGGGGTTTCAGCTATATTTTACTTGAACTTCACCATGGAAAGTTTTGAAGAAAATCACAAATTTGCATAATAACCATGCCAGCTCCTTTGGCTTTTTTTTCCCTACGGTAACTAAATTTCTCCCCTTAACATCATTACACTGTGTCCTTACGAAACTTTCAAAGCCTAACCAGCAGCTTGGCCTGCTGGCTTACCATGGCTTGAGGCAAGAACTTCCCTAGTATTTGAGAGGGGGTTTCTTCAAACTACCTCTGCAGGCAGCCTGGATGGAGACAGCTAACGTACTTTGCTAGGCTAATGCATTTTCTTGAGCAGCAGATCAGGAAGACACTAAATAGTAAAGGGTGCCTACAAAAATAATTTTAGCACTTAACCAAGTAAGAAAGGGAGAACATGGCAACAGTTTCATCCGTACAAACAAGGAACTGTTTGTGTTATTTTAAAGTCGATTCAGAGACACAAGACAATGAAGCTTGTCTATGAGTATCTGTACATCATTCTTTGTTCCAGGCTTCTAACGAGACGGCTCCCGCTCCTCGTCCCTACCCTGGCTGTATCTACAGCAGCATGATTGGTACAATCCCTCGGTGGTATCACAAGCTGAGGAACTGGTAGACTGGCAGATGGAGGTCTGGCCTCCCTGTTTTCTCTGTGGGTGTTCAGCAGCCTGGGTTGGAGATCATCAACTTGCAAATACACATACACCTAGATTTGTTACCATGGCTGAGCAATGATCAGTCATTGCCAAAAACTAGTGTAGAAAGGCATCTTAGAAGAGAGATTGTTTCATGGCTTGAAATTCAACGTATGACCCTGACACACACAGGTTTTTTTTAAATCTGAATGTGGTTTTTATATGGAAAAAATACCAACTTTTCTCCCCCAAGATCCCCTGCTCAGCATTCAAAGTATTTGGGAGATGTGGATTTCTTCCAAAGCCATTGTACGCAAAGGAGGTCACCGAATATTTATTTAGCCATCCTCAGAGCTGGAGGTCAGTCCTGTGAGCTCCTCCTGGGTGCTCCATGGAAGAGAAGTTGACAGTTGTCAGATGGGATGGACTATTTCAAGGCTGCTTTGAATGCTGTAGAACTATGTGAATAAAAAGTCTCATCGATCAGACAGGGTTTGCAGTGCAACAGCTCTTTGGCTAACAAAGTAAATTTTCAACTGTCTTTACAACAGAGACAATCTAATCACATATATCACATGATCACATCAACATCTGTGTGTATGATCCTAACGAACTTTGACTAGATTTACATATAAAACATTTCTATAAACCTTATCTTTTAAAACAATTCCTCCTTTCATTGCCCTAAGGTGTTGCAGGAAGGAGAATGGTACTCAAATGTCAGCATATAAACAGACACAAATATAAATCTTAGCTATAGATACCACACCCCATGGTCTCATAGGTTCATGATCTAATTTGTTTTTTGTCCATTATTTCTCCTGATGACTTACTGCATGAATCCAGCCACTCACCCTGTCCTCAGGTGCTTCTGTAAGTGACTGGATGAAGCACTTCTACAGGGGAGAAGATGGGAACCTCAGATGACTTTCTATTGCTTCAGCTAGCCCAGGAAACGCAGCAACAGCAGCTAGCACAGCAATTTGCATACTTTGCTTCAATTTAATGTTCTGCTCGAAGCACCTAATGCAGCTCACAGGCATGCTGGCACTACTCAGCAAGAGCCTGCAAACAAAGGAGGTCTAAGAATGTATTTAGACTTTGCACCTAAGCACCAAAACACTGCTCCACTGTCATTGTGCAGTAGTTGGAAATAAAAAAGCCTGACAGCTAGAGACAATGCCCATTGGTAATAAAACTACTTCTGTTCATTAAACAGGCAAGTGTTCCCATGAAATATTTGCACACAGTGAGAGCTTCATGCAGGCCAAAATTTTAGATCAGAACACACAACAGCTCTACATTAAGACTGAAAAAGATCTGAAAAGTAATGATTTGGCAGAGTTAACTACTATCTCGGAATTCAGCACGTAGCTTGAATGACTATGGCAACAGCATAAGGGTGCAGCATGAGTGGTCACAGAGATGTATCCTTGTTGTGGTGGAACCCCAGCCGGCAACCAAGCACCAGGCAGTCTCCCGCTCTCTCCTCCCCACGCCCAGTGAGATAGGGAGGAGAACTTGGGTAAAAAAAAGTAAAACTCATAGGTTGAGGTAAGAACAGTTTAATAACTAATCTAAAATAAAATATAATACTAACAATAATTGTCATGAAAAGAAATATAACAAGAGGATAAAACCCAAGGAAGACAAGTGATGTGCAATACAATAGCTCACCACCCGCTGACCGATGCCCAGTCCATCTCCGAGCAGTGATCAGCACCCCCCACCAACTCCCCCCAGTTTACACACTGGGCATGGTGTTCTGTGGTATGGAACATCCCTTTGGCTGGTTGGGGTCAGCTGTCCTGGCTGTGCTCCCTCCCAGCTTCTTGTGCACCTCCTTGTTGGCAGAGCATGGGAAACTGAAAAATCCTTAGCTTAGGATAAGCACTACTGAGCAACAACTAAAACATCAGTGTGTTATCAACATTATTCTCACACTAAATCCAAAACACACTGTACCAGCTACTAAGCAGAAAATGAACTCTGTCCCAGCCAAAACCAGGACAATCCTTCAAAACCAGTAACAAAACCCAGTATTTGGAAGACTGTATACAATTCTCAGGATGCTGCTTTTCAAGTATTTTTGCATCTAGATATTAAAGGCAGTATTCCACAATCAGAGATGCGGAAGTGATCAAAGAACATTCGCTACTCATTGCCTGGTATGATGCTGTTAAATTGCTTTTAACAACCGGGCACATTATTCCCTGCACTGAATATGCAGAAAGCAACTTCTGTTTCATGAAAGAAAGGTTCATCTGCTGATTAATCTTCTCTGGTTTTGTTTTTATTAAAGCAGTAAAGGCTCTAATCTCCGTAAGATGATATTCCACTGAGTCACCTTAGTTCTGTATTACACCCTAACGATGTGTCATTGCTTCTCTTTCAGCTTTTCCCCTTCTTTATTTTGAACTGCCACTCCAGAGAATGTCACGTAACTGGGAATAAAATGGCATTTGTTCACACCAAAGCCTTGCAGAAATTTTCCCAGCTCCAGACAGGGCACTGTGTTCCAACTTGTTCCACTTCACCCCCACACATAAAAATACAAATCCTCAGCTTGGCACACGTGTGAGCATGAATTACATTAGTTACATCTATTGTGTAACCGATGGAATAACAACCAAGATTATCTCAGGAAACACCCTAATTCCTGCAACTCCATGACAATTAATACTATATCCTGAGTCACTTTAAAAAATGTAAAAAAAAAAAAGAAAAAAAAAGGAAGAAACCCTTTAGTAGCAAGGGGAAAAAAATAGCTTTATATTTAAGAAACCACACTGGTAGAAAACAACAGTTTTCATGCTTATAGCAAGAATGCTCTGCAGTCTGTAAGCATTCCCTTAATTTTTAATATACACTTTTAAAAAAAAAAAAAAACAAACACTTCTCTTCCCCCTTTTTGTTCCCTACTGTATTTCTTTAAGAAGAGGAGAAATTCAACTATATTTAATCAGCTTAAATTATGGTAGAAATGGACCACACATGTAAGACTCATCTCATTCTTATTTTCCAAGAGTCTCCTTTTGGGCTACAAGTTCTCATGTTAATTTTCCACAACAAATAATTATCTGTACTGAAATCTTGAACATAATTTTACAAAAAACACTTAAGTCAGAAAAAATTTAGTCACAGCTCACCTAACTTAGAAGGTTAGGTTACTTTAAGAAAAAGAGGCAGAACCATTGCCAAAGAAACACAGCCAGTGCTCTCAGCCTTTGGAAAGAGTTTAGTATTTTGTTCTAAAACACACACACAGAGCAGCCACCAGGTATGACAGTGAGTAACACTAAACTGATTAGAAATTAAATTCAACCACCAGCATCAAAGGAGCTTATGGACTTATGCTTGGTTTTGTCACTTTCTAAGGGTTCAGGCATTTAAACAAGTTAATGCAAAGGTCATTTGAGTTAGCTTATCCACAAGGTAAAAGCGTGTACGGTAACTTGTTCATACAGCTACCCTTTTCTAATATACACCTTATAGAAACCCTTTCTCAAATATTTACCTCTTCGTATTGTAGGCTGTATCTTGTGGTGTTTCTTCAAGCAAGGTTACGTAGCCCAGCGCACATGTAAGGATGAACAAGACTGTTAAGGTATGAGCTCTCCTAAAATTTAGAAGAGAGAAAAATTGACATCAGAAAGTAGAAAAACTTACATCTTCACCGGTCAGTGAAGCCTCAGTAGGTCTAATACATAGACAGCTGTCAATAACACGAAGGAAGTTTTATGCATTGTACAGCACAGAAAACAGAGTTTACAACGGCACTGAATTCAGTTATCGGTCCACTGTGCAGTAGCACGCACCAGAAGCCTACCGCAGGAACGGGTCTTGCTCATTTTCCCCCCAGTGCTTTAAGGATGATTTGGACAAACACTTGCCAAGTGAACAGCAGCAACTTGAAAAAAAATTAGCACCAACTGTGCTAACGCTTGGATCTAAAAACCTCCAGATTTCTCTCTTGGTTTCTCAGGAATATACTTGACGGTGCTGCTGTACAGCTCCATTTCAAGGTCTATTAAGAAAAACTGCAGCAGACAGAACAGACTCTGAAGACTAAACAGAAGGGAATTCACTCCAGACATGGGAATTACAAATTACAAGAAAAACTAGTCATTAAAAAAAATAAAAATCTCTGAACGAGACCAGTTGCAATTGTGAGAATTACAATGCTGCCTCTAGATGCCTAATTTCCAGTAATTCTTACAGTTTCATTTCATCTCGGGTCTGAAGAGCCGGTACAGGCTGACGGCTCAAGGTCTGTGCCCGCAGAACTACATGCGGCCATCTCTACAGAAAGGGTTTCTGCTGGAACAACTGTGTCAGCAAAGCTCCGCAGTAAAGCCCGGTGGTTGTTCTTCCACGCCGTTAAAACGTGCAACCTTGCTGCTGCAATACAGCGGCACAGGCACAACACTGCTAGTGTGCGTGGTCGCACAAGCGCTCGCTCCCCCATCCGCCTGTACTGGTTTTGGTAAAGTGCCTAGGTGTGAAAGGAAAAAGAGCCAAGCACACACAGCCAGACCCGGGAGTTAAGAACAGAAGTTCCTGCAGCTGGTTGATAAGCATACACATACACCTACTGATTACGACAGATACAATATTCTTACATTGCACTGCCTGCATTTTTTTTTATTTAAAGTTGAAAATTCCTTTCCTAATGAGAAGCCATTTATTGTCTTCAGTGGAAGACCTATCTGACCTCAGCGCAGAAGCATGGGAAGTCTGGCCATTTAATACCAAAACATAAAAAGACAGGAGTTCTGTTTTAGAGGACTACTACACAACAACTCTTAATACAAACAGTTGAAATAACACAGGCATAAAGCATCAAGCTCAGAGAACAGAAAAAAACTGTGGATGAAAATGACTGTACGTCACAAGTATTTGTACATAGTAGCTCTTCTTACATTTTCTTTTTATATTATATCGTAATAGAAGCTAGCACTACATTGCTATTTTATGCCAAAAGACCAAAGTTTGTAAACATTCAAGTTGTACAGTGCATGATAAACCAGAGATCACCAAGGATTTCTAAGCAGTGCACTGACTTACCTTTAAAAATCAAATGCAGTAATCTATCTAAAATTGCTCTGAAAGTTAAGGTAAGTATTATTTTGAACTACAATTTCATCCTAAATTTCATCAGCCAGTTCTCACAGTATCCTTTTAATCCCACTGGAAAACACATGCAATACCTCATAAGCAGATGCAATCCTCTTCTGCCACCGCTAAAAAGGTGTTCGGCCTTTAACACTATCCTTCCTTGCAGTCCAGAGGACACCGACTAACCAGCTCCGGGGGGGCATTTTTTTGGGAAAGAGAAGGACCCACAAGTATTTTCAAAACTAGGAAGGAACCAACGTGTCAAAAAAAACAGGCAAAGGCTGCGCAGCAGCAAGCTTCCTGCTCAACAGATGTATCTTCCCTTTGACTTGGCTCCCAGGATGCCAAACAACAGGTGATTCAGCCACCGCGTACTCCCCATCCGTTTAACAGCCACGTGCCTTGGTGCCTATTTTGTAACCCACGGTAGTTTAACAAACTTAACGCAGTCCTCGCAAAGGAGGAGCACAGCAGGGGACTGAAGTAAATGCTCTAATTCACTTAAAGCTGACCATAGTCTTGCTTGCTGCATTTATATATGTATATAATTAATACAGAAAACGCCTATATTTTGATCACAGAAAAAGGTTACATTAACTGCAAGGCTATGCATTATATTGTATGCCTTGTTTTATTGTTGACTTTTTTTGAAACTAATATTTAAGAGGCTACTAAAATAAATCTAGAAATGCTGTCTTCTATCTTCCCATTTCACCATCTGAACACCTACATGAAGTCAATTACTTTTTAAGTGCCTGAGTGGCATGTAAATTGCCAAAAAAAGCAGTTATTAGGATGTCCTCATTTAGATAAACACATCTAGAAACTCATCTACTAGAACAAGGATGGTTTAGTTTCATTCCTCCCTGTGGGGAGTCGGCAGCTAAGCAAACGGTCAGTGTTCGCGAGCTTCACACACCCTCCTTTTGGTTTATTTTTGATGCCCCAACCATCAACTTCAAATTCAGTAAGATCCCTGCTTAATGAGACACAAAAGGCTATATATTCCATAATTTCCCTCTTAGCTCAGTTTTCCTTTCCAACTGAAGCCAGATTCTCTTGTCACAAGTTTTCAAGATGGTCAGTCATGTAAACATATTTTCAGTCTAGCATGAAATCCAGAATCCAGGATGAAAGACTTTCTAGGTTGGTTCATCTTCTGGAAAGAGCAAGTTGGCAGCTCTAACCAGAAAATGGCAAGTAGTGACAAAGTGATGACAGCTGCTAGAGGTAGCAGAGCATCATGCAAACCTACCTGTCAGAGAGGGGGGGGGGGAGCAAAGATAGATACACACCATATCTTTCCACAGCTTGAGAGTTAAACGGAACAAGACAAAATGTGAAGCAGTTACAGTAGCCAGGAAAATGAACAGCATACAGAAGTGCTTGTACGAGTGAAGTCAAGATGAATTAAACCGTACAAAGAGGGATTATTTTCGTTTCCATGCACACTTTAAAATAATGCAGCAAGAGGAAGACAGCACAGCTAAGAACATCCCCAGCAAGGTCAGCATTACAGGAATTACGTGGAAAGGCTTATGTTCTCCTAGCCTGGAGTCTGTGAAGACTGAAAAGAGCTACGCTAAGCTGACCAGGTATCTTCCCCTTGGAATTATACAGGAGTTTGGGCAATACACCAGAAGCAAGGGAGTTATAGACTACAGCCAGTTCTAGGAGGTTTTATGTTCAAAAATCTGAGAAAGCAGTGCCTAAAAGTAAACGCATACAATAATATGGAAGGTCAAAGAGAATTCACAACAAATCCCAAACTACTAAAAAGTTGGAACATTAAGTAGCTTATTTTTCTGTCTTTCTATAGCTTACATCCAGCTCTTTCCCCATTTAAACACTGGGACACTTAAGTGAAATAATTCAGTGAAAGTTTTGTTTTATAAAAATACTTACCCTGCTAACTTAGCTAAACACCGAGCAAGTGCAATTTAGGCAGTCCAACAGGCAGCACCAGTCACCACATCTCTCCTGTGCTGCAGCTTACAAAGAAGTGGGGGCTCTTCCAGTGAACGGGATTAAGTTTGATTCTAACTTCTCTTTTTCATGGTAATTCCTTCCTCTGTCACATTTAGAAACTGTAGGCTTTTCAAGGAAATTACTCTCAGAGCTTTTATTTTCCAAATAAAGTATATGACAAAAATGACCTCAGAAAATTTTAAGTATCTCTTTTTTGGGGGGAGATTTGGACAGATAAGCTCCGTGGATGGAAAGGAGGGAGTAATACCTGGGCAGAGCGGGCAACCGATGATCTCATTCAATCTCCAGCACAAACTAAAACCAGCTTAAGTGAATGGGACTACACCCTTATTATCCATTGCTTTGCATTAGTGTTCTTGTTTGTCATAAATGATGCAATAACTACATTAAAACCAATAACAATCATTGAGAAGCCCATGAAAAGGATTTAATATCTTTGTCAGTTCTCTAAGTGAAGCAAAATTCCAGAGAACAGCCAGTACAGCTTGCCTCTTTGGTTTAAAAAGCTGCACTAACAGCTACTGCTAGAGAAAGAATCTGTCAACAAAAGCAACTAGTCACATCTTAGCCTATCATCAACTTTTTCACAAAGAAATATTTTTTTTTCTTTATTCCAAATAACGGTAAACTCATAAATGCGTTTCTGAAAAGCATTTTAAAAGATGAACGAATGTCAAAGCTCCCTAACCTCCATACACCAACAGATCACCTGAACCATGCCGGGAATTCTAAGAAAATGTGACAAATAGACAGTACAACAAATCTATTACCTCATCAACAGTATAATGTTTAAGTTATTGTGAAGAATAAGATATGGGAAAATACAACAAAAATTAATAACAATTTTAAACTGACCAATATTTTGACATTCAAAATCAAAACCATAATTAACAGGGAAGCAATCCTGTTTGGGTATAGAGAGGTTTTTGAAATCTAAAAAAAAATATAAAATTCAACCTTGGTCATAATCTTGATAATACATCCAAAATTAGAGACGTGAAACTCAGACGTTCATGTTGCGCTGGGCCAAAGCAAGTGGTCAGGCTTCAACATTTCAAAAATGAGAGGTTAACTGCCAGTTTGTGGCATGAGATCTCTCTCATCCACCTAGATCACAAAAAAATACTCAGTGGCAACCAAAGTACGTATTTTGTACGTGGCACTGCCTGAAAGCTCCAAGCACCTACGTCTCTAATGCAACAGAAATGTGGCTGTTGGCTTTAAGCTGTAGACTGTGTTTTGAGATCTGTATAAACTCCCAGAGATTATAAAAAAGTACCTATTCTTAGACCAGTAACAAGCCTTCAGCACATCTATAAAGGTACACAACACTGATTAAATTTCTGTATGTACTTGTGACACTCCAAAATAGTAACGTTCATTTTCCTTGCCACGAGTTGGTGCCTCTCATAAAACGATCAGTCAGTAAGAGACATACAACACCACATACCTCCACAGAGAAACCAGAACAATGGATTAAAAAGCAAAGCTTCAGCAAATTAGTTGTTTTCCTCTGAATGAGAAGAGAGAAAAGACAAAGTTTCCATTCATCGGTTCTACAGAGTTCACAAGCTAAAGTTCCCCAAATGATCTATATTAAACATTAAACATTTTTACATGTTTAAACCTATTGAAATCTTTGTTTCAGGTTTCAGTTTAAAACAGTTCCACTGAGACGGCGTGACTTTGCATTACGGCTAACACACACTTTAAGCAGGTCTTTTAAAAAAATGGCAATAAATGGGAATGGGAGGAAGGTGTCCTTATGCCAGATTTAACAGCATAAAAGCATGGAGCTAATTTTTGGGGCGATAACTTGCTTTGTAAACTGCAGTAGAATCCAAGTCACACGGCAGCGCTCTGATGAGCGCCGGCAGGGAAGCCGCGCTCTGCGCCGAGCCCCTACCAGCCCACAGACACCAACCCTCCCCGGGCACCGGCTTCGCCGTGACAAGAAAAGCGATTTCCCCAGGGTGAAGCCAACCCTGTGCACCCCGGCACCCTCAGCCTTTGGCTTCACCAGATACTGAAAACTCACTCGTACGGCTTGTGGTAGCGGGGCCTGCCTTGGCACCCCCTCAAGAAGCACCCCTAGGAACCCCACGCTGTCTCCCACCACGTCTTCCCCCGTTCTCCTTAAAACTTCTGGAGTGTGTTTACAAAAAAGAAACTGGTATGGAGAATTAATACTAGGCCTAAAGCCCAGGTGAGGCATTCAACTCTCACAGGGTCTCCTCATAAAGATATTTCTTCTACGCTTCTAGCTTTTACTTGAAGGAACCGTGCAATCCCTTCCTTTCAGGAAAGGGTAATGACATCCTAATAACGCAATTCTCAGGAGACAGCTACCCTCATCTGCGAGGAGAGTCAATGCACCCAGCTGACTAAGGTGGCTTCATCGGATTGCACAACTGCCTCCTGGATGTTCTAGCAACCGGAGACTGCCAGGGCATACCTAAACACTGAAAAAGCACAGGCTGGGTGAGACAGCAGCAGCCTGATGCAAGGTTTCTCTGCTCAAGTTAGGTAACATGCTCAAACCTGGTCAATTCTGACCAGGCAGAGAATCAGAAGGGTGCATCAGCAAATACAGAACCTCACCGTGGTCCAGCCTGCTTTAAGGTTTTATTAGACTACACTTGTATAGTATGAAAAAAAAAATAAATCCAGCAAATGCTGAGTTTCCAACAAGCTTGAGGAATGTCGCCTCCGAAGTGCTGCAGCCAACCCTCATTAGAGGGTACAGAAAAGAGTTCCTGCCAATTTGCAGATCCTCTAATCTCCCTAATCTCTTTCAGATAAACCATCCTCTCTTCCTCCAGACAGCCTTTTCAAAAATCTCATGCTGCTGTAAGGTTAGTTTTTCAGAGATAAGAACAGCGCAAGGAATGGCTAAGCAATACTTCGTTTTGAATACCAATCCTGCATTTCCAAAAACGGCTCGTTTGCACACACGTGTTCTCATTTCCGAAGAAATGTCCCTGTGTTGGCAGTCAGGAAAGATTCCTGACAACACTGAATAAAACGAGAGAAACATCCCGGCAGAGGCATCCACAGGCTACCTTTTCCTTAGCTGTGATTTCTAAGCTTTTTGCACCAAGCAGGCTGAATTAACTCCTATGAAAGCTGTGTTAGTCCATAGAGCCTTCTACCCACCATTCACCTCTTTTTTTCTTCTTTTTCTTTCTTTTTTTTTTTAAAACTTCCTGAGCTCCACAGATCTCTGCTGCCACACTATGACCTTAACATCATATCCACATGATGGTAATATAGAATTATGTAGCGTGAGAGACAAAAACACATCGGTAATGAACAGAGGACATTAAAATCAATTAAATTCAAATTAAAGTAAGGCTTAGTAAAAGCAATTAACCCATAGAGTCACAATGTAACGTGGTGGCAAAGATGTATCTGGCATCTCCCAACATCTTCTAATCAAGACTGGATGCCTTCCTGGAAGATATGTTTTGGTTAAATACAAGCTATGAAATATACACAGAAACAAGGGCTAACATAGAAATTTCAGGAGAAAATCATACACAATACTTAACTAGATGATCCCAAACTGGTAATCCAAGACTGGGCTAGGCTGGCATGAAAACACTCAACACCACCTTCTGCTGCCTTTTCTTCTCCTCTTCAAAAAAGTTGCTGCACACCTCTACATTTATCTTTTTATTTATTTACTTTGTGGAGATAAATTGATTTGCCATCTCACTGAGCTTTTTTGCTCCCCCACAGAAAGACATCCATCTCCTCTTTTTCCAGCTTCAAGTATCTTTAGGCATCTGTCACAGTTACTGCTCAGAGGCAGCAAAAACCCAGCTTCTATCGGATTCACCCTTTCCCACACAGAACAACGTCCCAGTAGCAAAACCCCCTAAGATACACCAGCACTCACTCTGCCGCAGGTTACAGAAACTTAGCCACAGAGATGTTGTAGAAAGCTCTATGTGGGAATATTTTAAAAACACCCAAACAAAACAGTGTTTTTTTCCATGCTAGCTCAGTAAAAATATCAATCTACTGTACTTCACACCATACAAAAAATAAAAGTCAAAATCTCAGCCACAAAGAGGTCCTTTGTTTGTATTCAGAAAGCTAATTCCGTAAGCAGACGGCAAGAAACAATCAAAGGTACTGGAAACAACAGTGAACATGTCTGCCTAGAACAGCGGCTTGTCAGGCAAGCCTGGTATTTCCAGCTCTCTGGTAGTAGTAATAGATGTTTTGAAATGACTTCAGGGATAAAAGATACAGAGGCTGCCAATCTGTTTCATAAAGCTTCTACCCCATTTCCTTCTCTTGACATTTTCCAATGACAAAAAGAGATGTCAAGGCACACTGACTGAGCAGGTTCCCAAAATGTAGTAACTGGAAATTACTATATTTTAATTAAGATTGAATAAGAATAGAAATATTACACAGCATAGTACTTGTTTTTCAAAGTTTTAAAAAGAAGACAGCTAGAATGTACCACCTTTCCCAAGGACGGCATTTATAGCGGTAAAATTACCTTGGCAAATTGAACTACTTCTAGAATGATTTCTGACTGTGTCTGCAAGTCCCAAATCCTTGAACTTTTCCAAACCGGGCAGGCCATGTGGGTAGCCTTACCCCTCGCTTCTGAACTTCAAAGACAAAAGCTACCTTCCATGCTTTTCCGCACAGGCAAAGACAGAGGGTACCTACTCTCTTAAGTTCCCATTTTCTGTGACCACCTCCATAACACAGCACAAGAAGAGTACCAAGGGTCACAGGAAGAGAACTGTTCCTCTGTTTAATCTTTATTCTCACCTACCGTAAGAACTGAGTCATTACCAAAGGATAAGCTAACACACTCAGTGCTGTCATGCACAGGTCAAAAGCAACAGTGGGAAAAACCTTGAAACTTTCACAAGCATTTAAACTTCCAGCTGCCAGTGCAAGCGACATACACTACTAGGGAAAAATGAAATAAATAGCTTAAGGAACAATTCGACAACACACTTGTCCGCACTGCTCTCCTGGAAGGGGAAGCTCCTTAAAGAACGATGACACATTCAGGCTTTCAAAAGAACACTTCGCGCGGACAAATTAACCGCAGTTACAGTCTTTATTTTAGGATGACAATCCCGTATGGGTGGCCCCACACCCCGACAACACGAAAAAGGTGCAACAAGGTGAGATTATACAATAAAAATGGCATTAGGTGTTTTTAAGGTATCACAAGACAGTTGGCAAGAGCCACCTTAACTAGACAGTAAGAAAATGACAGTTTTACCCATTTTCCATTTATAAAATGGCTCTACTCCGCAGATCTCGGCAGGATCCAGTTATTCAGTCACCCAGCCTACATGTGGCAACACTAACGTGCTCTCCAAAAAAGGTCCTCTTGCCCTCAGGATGTCGATGACCCTCAGCTACACTTGCATATGTCGGGCTCCTGCAGAGACCACCCTGCGATCCAGCAGCATCTAAGTGTTTCTTTGCAGTCTGTACGGACAGAAATATCACCTAGAATCAGCGGCTTCATCAACACCCTCTGCTCCACTGCTGCCCAGATTGGCAGGGCGAGAGCCAAGCGCCCTCCCCTTTCTACTCCTTAATGTCAAACTCGAGCCAAATCATATCACCCTCAGCTCATCTTCCAAACAAGGGACTTCAATGTCAGCTTGGTTTCCTTAATCAAAAAGTACGTGTGTTTAACACACAGAAAAACTATGCACGTACACACGTCTGCTGAACTCGATTTCTGGAACACCTCCAGCAAAGACAGGAATTAGAAGCACTTTTCCAGGTACCAACACATCTCTTCGTGTGAGGATTGAATTTAACAAAAAAACGATTTACCCCGCTGGCCTAACACAGACAGTTGTGGTTTTCTGCACCAATTTTCCAGACTGAGCATGGAAAGACCCAACCAGCAGAACTTAGGCATAAGGACTTTAGCGTTCTATCAGGATTACAGGAAAGACCATGGACAGAAAAGGCCTCTCCCAAGACTGAAGGAGGGGAAGAAGTACGTGGAGTTCACATAACTGATGCTGATAAAACAACTGGAATCAAGCCTGAAAGTTTGCCTACAGACGGTGGGCTCCTGAAGCGCCAGAGGACCCCTCCACAGGGCTCACCTGGCGAGAGAAGGCGTCTTGGTTAGCTGGAAGGGCGCTGCTTGCTAGAGGGTTTAGGATCACCACGGAGAAAGGAGGTGCCACTGCCAAAAGTCAGTCCTAAATCACTGTTACGTTGCCAGGAAACAATAACTAATAGCACCACGATACCAGGAAAAACACCTTTACACGCAGACTACGGTTTCTCAGTTTTAGCAGCGATACCTGTGGCAGTGAAGTAAGCGCACTGTAAATTAGGGGTAACACGCAGCACCCTTCCATCTTCCCTCCCGCCGCCCCAAGCCCGGTAACCC